CTGCCCCCCATCCCCCACCCAAAACTTCTATCCTTTCTATAGCATCTATACCCGGCAACATTAAGCTGCCAGTCCTGTCCAAATCTGAGGCATGTCTCTGTAATTGCAATGATATCCCAGTCCCATGTTCCCAACTGTGCCCTGAGTTCATCTGCCTTACCTGTTATGCCTCTTGCATTGAAATAAATGCAGTTTAATTTATGAGTCCTACCTCGTTCTCTGCTTTGTTCCTCCCTGCCCTGACTGTTTGATTTGCTCCTTTCCGCAGTCTCAGACTAATCTCTTTCCTCACTATCTCCCTGGGTCCCAAACTCTGCCCCCCACCTTACTAGTTTAAACCCTCCCAAGCAGCTCTAGCAAATCTCACCACCAGTATATTAGTCCCCTTCCAATTCAGGTGCAATCCGTCCCTCTTATACAGGTCACTTCTAGCCCAGAAGGCATTCTAATGATCCAAAAATGTGAATCCTTCTCCCCTGCACCAGCACCTCAGCTACGCATTCATCTGCTCTATCCTCCTATTCCTCTGCTCTCTAGTGATCCAGATATCACTACCCTCAAGGACCATCTTTTCAAATTCCTACATAACTTCCCACATTCTTTCCATAAAATCTCATCCTTTTCTCTTCCAATGTCATGAGTTCCAATGTGTACAACGACTTACTGCTCATCCCTCTCCCCTTTGAGAATATTCTGCACCTTCCCCGAGATATCCTTGATCCTGGCACCAGGGAGGCAGCACGCCATTCCGATTTCTCACTATCGGCCACAGAAATGTCTCTCTGTGCCACTAACTAGAGTACCCTATCACAATCGATCGCTTGGAACCTGACGTACCCCTCATTACATCAGAGCCAGCCTCGGTACCAGAAACCTGGCTGCCTGTGCTACGTTCCCCTGTGAGTCTGTCATCCCTTACATTTGCCAAAACAGCATACTTGTTTGAGATGGGGATTGCCACAGTAGACTCCTGCACTACCTGTCTCCCTCTCCTACCTTTCCTGGCAGTAACCTATCTTCCTGATTGTATCTGTAGTTTTTCTCTCTCCCTCCCTACAGCTGTCATCCATCACACCCCCTGTAAATTCCTCATTGCCTCTAACTGCTACTCCAACTGATCCATGCGATCCAATAGGATTCTCAACCAAACCCACTCCTGCAGATATAATCATCAGTAACATGGAAACTCTCCCTAATCTCCCACGTCTGACAGGAAGATCACATCACTCTATTAAAGGCCATCTCTGCACCTACATAACCAGAAAATAGCCCAGTCTTACTGCTCTAAAAACACTGCTCCAGGCTAACTTAGTACCTGTGTTTTATATTTTAAACTTTAATCAAGAGGCAGAACTCACTCTACCCATTGCTGGAGCTTTACAAAATAAATGGCAATGTTACACTCTAAAAAAGCCACTGCTGTGAGATCTGCCACAGGTTTCTCCAAGGTCAGCTGTGAGTTTTGTTGCTTGTTAATTTTTCTTAGACAAACTCCGATGTCCAGAGATAATTGAAATCAAACAGCATGAGTGTCACTGGCTGACCAGCATTTATTGTTCATCCCTAATTGCCCTTGAAAAGGTGGTGGTCAGCTGCCTTTTTGACCGCTGCAGACCACATGTTGTGGGTTGACCCACAATGCCCCTAGAGAGAGAATTCTAGGATTTTGACCCAGTGACAGTAAAGGAACGACAATATATTTCCAAGTCAGAATGGTGAATGGCTTGGAAGGGAACTTGCAAGTGGTAGTGTTTCTGGATATCTGCTGCTCCTGTCCTTCTGGATGGAAGCGATCATGGATTTGAAAGATGCTGTCTAAGGATCTTTGTGAATAGCTGCAGTGCATTTTGTAGACAGTATACATTGCTGCAATTGAAGATCAGTGGTAGAGGGAGTGGATGTTTGTGGATGTGGTGCCAAATCAAGCGGGCTGTTTTGTCCTGGGTGATGCCAAACTTCTTGAGTGTTGTTGGAACTGCACCCATCCACGCAAATGGAGAGCATTCCATCACACTCCTGACTTGTGCCTTGAAAATGATGGACAGACTTTGGGGAGTCAAGAAGTGGGTTTCTTGCTGCAGTATTCCTACTCTCTGACCTGCTCTTGTAGCCATTGTATTTATGTAGCAAGTGCAGTTGAGTTTCTGATCCATGGTAAATCCCCAGGAATTTGATTGTTGGGGATTCAGTGATGATGGGCAAGAGGTGTTCCCTACACTCTACAATAACCTGGAGCCTCCAGAATGTGACGATTGATTTCTCGGACTCTACCAAGTGCAAAGTCCAGCAGGGGACAGATAAGATTTATGAGAATGTTGTCTGGCATGGAAATTTCAAGCTTTGAGGGCTGATTGGATACACTGGGCTTACTTTGTTAGTACAGAAGTAGCAGTGAATGGATGTTTATGTAATTGAAGCGTTTGCATTGAGTGTATAGGAAAGAGCTAGTGGAATGGTCAATAACCAGGGGCAGAGACTTAAGAATAGGGGAGAAAGCAGATGTATAGGTCTTCCAGAAGGCCAAATGGCCTCCTTCTGCACTGTATCTACTCTATGATGATTTGTTGTTATGGCTAAAATGTGGTACATGGCCAAGAATTGAGTTAAGGTGCTTGATTGGGTTTGAGTCAGGGAAGGTTACTGGACTGGTTAGGGTTTCACTGGTTATTGTTGTGGTTGTGGGAAGGCATTTGATTGAGTTAGGGGTGGTTATTTGCCTGGGTTACAGATCAGGGTTAGGCTTTAGCGATATTGCTTCACACGGTTAAGGTTGGAGTTAGAAAACAGTTGAGTGTTTGGGTTAGGATTAGTATTCAGTATAGGGTTAGAGAAAGGTGCTTGAGTGCACTGGGTTTTTGAAGTTTGGATAAAATCTCCAGGAACTCATCTGAGCAGAGGTAGTAGCCATGGTGGAGGGAGCGAACAGGTTGGAATGTCGCACCTTATAATGAACTGAATGATATTGCAGTGTTTTAATCAAATAGTCCCAAAGCTGAAGGGGCTGGGTACAGGTCATAGAAAGGATTCACACAAAGTAATAGAAACTTAGCATCAATAAACTGCTTGTTCTGTAGGTGAGATAGAGGGAATATGGGCAGGAGTTGGTTGGGTAGGATTGTATTATAGTGAGCAGGGGACAGTTGGGTTCTGTCCAGCATAAAAGCCTGAAAGAGCTAATGACATTGTAACATGTTCTTAAATCTTTCTCTGCCAGCTGGCTGTGCTCTCCAATGCAAATATCTGAGTTGCGGCAAATTGTCTTAGATCGCAGCTGGAAAGGACCCCAAATGTTTGTGCAGTGAAAGCACGTGGCCTACTTGAATCAGTTCAAACCGGAATATAGTCAGTGAATCAGTGTCAAGGACAGCCCTCTCTCCTACACACCAACCAGAAGAGGCAACAGTAGTTTCAAAGGGGAAATGTGACCCCTTGACACAAGAAAAGCCCTCATGAGTGATACAGAGATGGAAACCCTGTCAAGTAGGAGCTTTGTACTACTTTTCGGAACATAAGATGAGAATATTCCAGCAGTGTAAGGGAGACAAAAATAAGCAGAGTATTTATTTAGTGGTAATAGAGAAAATAATGCGACTTAAGACAAAACTCTAACCTGATGATTTCTGATTAATGAATTATCCGAGGAGATAGAAAAATAATGTGGCAATGGCTAGAATGTTGCTTGAGGATAAATATTTTCTCAAATACTGGAGGGAAATGGATTGCTCTCCTTCATGGGATCTTATAATGTCCACCTACACATTATCCACTTCAACAATGCAGCACTCCCTCAGTACTGACCCTCCGACAGTGCGGAACTCCCTTAGTACTGATTCTCTGACAGTGTGGCACTCCCTCAGTACTGACCCGCCGATAGTGCAACACTGCTTCAATACTGACTCCCCGACAGTACAACACTGACTCAGTCCTGACCCTCTGACAGTCCAGCACTCCCTCAGCACTGACCCTTTGACAGTGTGACACTTCCTTAGTAAGAATTCTGACAGTGCAGTGTTTTGTCTGTCCACTCAGTGTCAGGCTGGAAAATGCTTGAAGTCCCTGGAAGTCAGTCTTGAATCTGTTACTTTTTGACTTAACATGGAGAGAGTGATATGCATTGAGCCAGGCTGGGAGCAAACTGTCCTGAGGCTCAGCTCGTGGAGAATGTAAACTGCTTTGATCATCAGTCGTATAAATCACAAAAAAAACCTGCTCCCTCTAGGAGTCAAATAGTTTGCTGGTAAAAAGGATCGGGTTTTAAAAAATCTGTCACACAGTTGCCCTGGGAATGAGAGTGGAGTGAATGGGAAACTCCTTGTGAAATATACTGGTTATAGGTCTACATCCTTGTAACAGCACCCCCTGCTGCCCATCACAGGCAGCAGAGGGCAACAGTGCAATATGTCCTGGAGTAAAACTCTGCTCTCACTGAAATTGCTCAAACACTCTTTGGAAAATTGTTAATGGCAGAAGGTTATTCGGCCCTTCAATGGCTTAGTTCTCAAGGTCTGAAATTCCTTCACTAATCTTCTCCACCTCAAATCCAGCTTACCAACATTTGGGAGGCTTCGAGAAAGAAATTGTTCACTCAGAATGGGGGTCTGGAATGCATTGCCTGGGAGGGTAGTTGAGGTTGGTAATCTCACAACCTTTAAAAAATACTTGGGACGAAAATTTGAAATATCATAACGTTCAAGGCCGTGGGCATAGTGCAGGAAAGTGGGACTAGTCTGGTTACGAGGGTATTTTCAGCAGTAAAGACTAGATGGGCCAAATGCCCTCTTCCATAGTGTATGATTCTGTGGTCACACATGCTAACAACTCTTCTCCGTTTTAAATTCTGTTTAGTGACACTTAATCCCATTAAGAGATGCTGTATAAGTGCGATTGTGATAATTATTATTGTGCAGTGAACCATGAGGACCAGTCTATCTGGTTATTATCTCCATGGTAGTCAGTTATAAACACAGAGCTCCAACAACAGAACAGTTTTTACTCACCTCATGAAGGAGGAGAGAGAGGTAGAGATGGAACGCTTATACCTGTACATCGGAAGGGCTCTCCTTTCCTTTGGGATCATCTCCATTTTCTTGGGAATCATCACCTTCTTCCCAGTTTTTACCTACAAGCCCTGGTTTGCCGGATGGAGTGCCAGGATCGCATGTCCCATCTGGAATGGAGCTGTGGTAGGGGAAATAAATATTTTCAGTTCATTCTTGGGATAGGGCTATCACTTGGAAGGCCAGTATTTATTGCCACTCTTTAAATTTGCCCCTCATGAAGGAGGTGGTGAGCTACCTCCTCCGGCTACTGTAGTCCACCCACAATGCTGCTGGGGAGGGAGTTCCAGGATTTGGACCCACAAAAGGACTAGCGGATATATCAACACATGCTTTCCACCTTTCAAGGCTGTGGATTTCGGTGCCCTCTAGCCTTCAAAAAATGGATTTTTATTGGAGAAAGGTATCTCAGGAAATGGAGCAAAGGCAGGGGAATCCATTAGAAATACAGATCCATCATGATCTAGTTCAACAGTGGAACAGTTTGGGCTGAATTGGTTTCCCCTGCTTCTACATTCTCAATAGTTCAGGGTCAACCAACTTGGTATGGGACTGGAGTCACGTGGAGGTCCAGGCTATGTATAGTAGGTTTCCTTCCTTGAAAGGACATTAGCGAATCTGTTGGGTTTCTATGAGATTTGAATATCTTTGCTGCCATTTTTAATGATCGCAGCTTTTCATTTCTAGATTATTAAAGCTACTTCTAAAGATAACAAGGTGAGTTTTTGAACTCCTGTTCTTTAGATTAGTCCAGTAACACAACAACTAAACAATCATACTTCTTTGTTAATATATGAAAGGCATCAAAAGTTGGAACTATCAATATTGTTGTGTGTTGTGATTGACAGCTCAGTGCAGAGGCATCTCACAGGAAGACAGTGGCATTGTGGTATTGTCACTAGACTAGCAACTCAAAGCTTCCAGCTGATATTCTGAGGACAAGGGTTTGAATCCCACCATGGCAGAAGCGAAATCTGAATTCAATAAAAAGTTGAAATAAAAAACAAGCCTAATGGTGACTGTGCAGCCACATTTCATGGTTGTACAAATGTATCAAGTTCATTAATGTCCTTTTAGTGAAGGAAGCCTGCCATCTTTACCCAGTCTGGTCTACAGGTAACTCCAGACCCATACGAATATGGTTGACTTTTGACTCCCCTCCAGGCAATAAATACTGGCCTAGCCAGCGATGCCTGCTTTCTAAGAACGAATTTTTAAAAATATCTTATTCCTTGGCTCCAAATGAGGAGGATTTAAGATCCATTCCAAAGACATGAGCCCAAAATGTAGGTTGGTCAGGAGGGGAGGTAGCAGAAGGATGTCTGCAGTCCTTAGAATGTAGATTCAGCACAGTGCTGTTAGGGAGGAATTTCCATGATTTTGATGTAGTGTGTGGCTTGGAGAGGAACTTGTAGATGATAGTGTTCCCATGTATTTGCTGTCCTTGTCCTTCTGGACAGTAGAAGCCATAAGTTTGTAATGTGCTGTTGGAGGAGCCTTGGTGAGCTGTTACAGAGCAACTTGGGTCTGAAATGAGTGTCAACATTTAAATAAAAGCAACGACAGAGGTATAAAGACAGTGTTGTCTAAAGTGGCTGGGAAAGCAATCTAAAGGGGAGGTCAGTAGATCAGTTAAGCAGACATTTCACATCGCTCAGCAAAAAACTTATTCTGATGAAATTGGCATGACTTGATGGGAATGATGAACCTCCCTTGGGTAACAGAGGCAGGCAAGGAGAGTATCCAATCAAAAACTAAGCCATACAAAGCAGAGAAAACTAATAGTAGGCTGGAGGCTTTAGGATGATGTAAAAATTAATAAAAAGGGAGAAAATTGGTTATGAAAGTAAATTGGCAAGAAATATAAAAATGAACCCAAGAGATTCTGGAGGTATATAAATAGAGAGGGATTTGCTAAAGTGACATATAGGACTGTTGCAGGATATATCGGGGGAATTGATAATGAGAAACAATGAAATGGCAGGTGATTTAAACCAACATTTTGCATCAGTCTTTATAGTGGAGGATACCATAAATATCCCAGAGATAACAGATAAGCAGGATGGTAAGGGGAGCAAATATCTCTAACAATCTCTATCACAAGGGACAAAGCATTTTCATATGAATGGGTCTGAAGGCAGTCAGGTTGTCAGTACTTGGGGCCTACTTCCTTTAAAAGAAGTGGCTGCAGAGGTAGTGGATGCATTGGTTGAAATATGCCAGAATTCCCTTGATTTTTGGAAGGTTCCAGCAGATTGGACAACTGCTAATATTTTACTCACATTCAAGAAAGGAGGGAGATAGTAAGCTGTAAACCATAGGCCAGTTTGCCTACAATCTTCATGAGGAAATTGCTGGAGTCCATTGTTAAAGGAGAAATAGCAGAACACTTAGAAAAGCTGAACGCAATCAAACAGGATCAACATAGTTTTGTGAAAGGGAAATCATGTTTAACAAATTTCCCCAAATTCTTTTAGAATAAAACAAGCAGAGCTGATAAAGAAGAACCAGCAGAGGTAGTATATTTGGATTTTCAGATGGTATTTGATAAGGCATTACTTAGAAGGCTATTGCACAAGTTAGGAGCTCAGGGTGTTGGGATGATGTATTAGCATGGATTGAGGTTAGCACACAGAGTCATACAGTGACAGAGTCAAACAGCATGGAAAGAATTCATCTGTGCTGACCAGACATCCCAATCTCATTTGCCAGCATTTGGCCCATATCTCTCTAAACCCTTCCTATTCATGTACCCATCCAGATGCCTTTTAAATATTGTAATTGTACCCACCTCCATCACTTCTTCTAGCAGGCCATTCCATACATGCACCACACTCTGTGTGAAAAAGTACACAAGACAGAGAGTTGGGAGTAATGGGTCTTTTTCAAGTTAGAATTATGTAGTTAGTTGAATACCACAAGGATCATTCCTAGGACCTCGATTAATTACTGTCTATATTCATGATTTGAGGAAAAGGTAGAGTATAATGTATCCAGATTTGCAGATGGTACAAAAATAGGTGGGAGGGCATGTTGTGATGAAGACATAAGATAAATTGAGTGTGTGGGCAAAAACTTGGCAGGTGGAGATTAACGCGGGAAAGTGTGAAGTAATGATCTTTGGGAGGAAGAATCAAACAAACTAAATGGAAAGAGAATCCAAAAGGTGCGACACTGAGGGGTCTGGATGTTTTTGTCCATGAAATGCAAAAAGGCTAGCATGCAGGTGTATCAAGTAATTAAGAAGGCAAATGGAATTTTGACCTTTATTACTAAGGAGTTGGAGTTGAAAAATATGGAAGTCTTGTTACAACTGTATTGGGATGTTGGTGAGGCTGTACCTGGAGAACTGTGTACAGATTTAGAATAGAATCTGAACAGTGTGGAAGCAGGCAGTTTAGCCCATCAAATCCACACTGACCCTCTGAAGAGCATCCCACCCAGACCCTCCCTATCCCTGCATTTCCCATAGCTAATCCACCTAGCCTACATATCCCTGGACTTTATGGGCAACTTAGCATGTCCAATGCACCTAAGCTGTACATCTTTGGACTATGGGAGGAAACTGGAGCACTCAGAGGAAACCCACACAGACACAGGGAGAACATACAAACTCCACACAGTCAGTCGCTCAAGGCTGGAATTGAACCCAGAGGCCTGGTGATGAGAGGCAGCAGGTGCTGACAACTGAGCCACCGAGCCACCTCCAACAGCATTTGGTCCTCATTTTTAAAAAAAGGATACACTGACATTGGAGGCAGCGCAATTGAAATTCAAACAACTAATTCTTGGGATGGAGAAAATGACATATTGACAATGACTAAACAGCTTAGAACTTTATTCATTAGAGTCCAGCAGAATGAGGGGTGATCTGAAAGAAACATACAAGATTCAGAGGGGGCTTGACAGTGTTGATGTTGGGAAGACGTTTTCCCTAGTGGGAAAATCGTGAACTGGAGAGCACAGTTACAGAATAAAGGGACTCATATTTAAAACTGAGATGCAAAAGGAATTTCTTTTCCCAGCAGGTAGTGAGTGCCTGGAATTCTCTTTCCCAGAGAGTTGTGAAAGTTAGATCAAAATTTATTTTAGGAGATGAAATGATTTTTGAAGCATCAGTGAGTTGTGAGGAGTTGAAAAGAAAGAGGAATTGAGATCTGGGGTTAATCAACCATGATCTTACCGAATGGCAACGTAGACTTAAGGGGCTGAATGGTCTATTCCTATTTCTTAAGCTCTTAGAACAACAACCTAGTGGTTTAGCTGTGAAAACTTTATTCAAACAAACAAATCACTTTAATACCCCTGGGACATATTAGTGTGCAATGAGAGGCTGGATATCTCACTTTCACTGTGGGAAGGGTATCTCGCAGAAACTCAGGAAAAGCAGAGCTCTGGTGGAGTCACCTGCGTGGTGGCAGGAATTTTGAATGATATTGAACATATGATTTCTAGGTGCCAGAGATGCATTGTACACCAACAAGACAGAGACATCTTACAGAGAAACAATAAGCCTGCAGACTATAGGGATGTGGCGTGGTAGTGGTAATGATATTAGGCTGCCAATGCAGAACCCTAAGCTTATACTCCAGGGATGCTGGTTTAAATCGCATCCATAATATGTGGTAAAGTCTGAATTCAGTAAAACCTACTCTAATGATAACCATGTAACAATTATCACAAAAATCTATCTGGTTCACTGATGCTCTGTGGATAGAAATTCTGCCACATTGACCTCTGCAATCTTGCTTCCTTCCTCCCTGCAGGCTTTCATTGTCGGAGTTGTTATGTTGCTTGCAGAGAGAGACCACATCTCACGATATCTGGTAATTATCGTAGAACATTTGTTATAACATTTCGGTCCCCAACCAGCATCAAGAGGAATAGTCCTCACACAACAATTCTAGGAAATATTCTGTGCAAACAAAAAGCCCTTCTCAGCTTTAATGGCTTCCCTGGTGAGAAGTCAAGAAGCCAGCATTGCCATGGTGGACTGAATGGCCTATTTCTGTGCTTTAACACCCTAAAAAATTGAAACACTGTCAGGAAACATAGTGAGACCTACAATCCTTAAGAATTATAGAATTGTTTTGATGAGACAATCTAAATGTAGAAAGTCGAAGAGGGAGATGGAGTTAGGACAGTATGGGAAGAGGAGAGTTTGGGGAAAATGGGTAGGGAAGGTGCTGAGGAGATAGAGTGAGGCGACTGGGCTCAAAGGGAAATGGAGAGAAGGCATGAGGAGGGACAAGTGGAAGTGGGTGGGAAAGGGCAAAGGCAGAGTTTCTGGTGGTGAGAGGAGGTGAGGAGAAATAGGAGAGGGAGGTATTAGGTAAAGAGAGAAAGGAGTAAGGATTGGAATGAGGGCGGAGGTGCAGAATTGGGAAGAGTCTGGGCAGGTGTGAATGATTGGGGTAAATGAGTGTGGGGCTGAAGGGGAGCGGTGAGTGAGCAGTGGTGTGAAGTGGAGAGGTTATACAGTCAGGTATCTCTGTGTGATCAACTGATTTACTCGCATTCCCATTCACAGAGACAGGTCGGCTTCACCTTCGCTATTGTCAATCTCATGGCTTCACCCATACAATTCATCATTGCTCTGGCTGCCATCCTGATTGGTCCAATCTGCTATTACACCTTGGCTGGTATTTCAGGCACAGGATACCTGGGATACGCTGTCCAGTTTCCATATCGATACAGCCTTCCTGCTGTCTGTACGGACCCACCACTTTATGAGTACTACCACCTCGTCCTTCAGCTCCTCAGCCTGATCATCAGCACTGCCATCTTCTCCCTGTCTCTGGTTTTCTGTATCAGCCTGAAAACGAGATTCAACTCTACAGGAACTCTCACCGTATGTATTGTCGAAGTCACCCTGAATCCTCCGGCCAAAAGACAAACAACCACGGCCGCAGGGATTGGGAGATTGAGAGCCTTTGTTTCTGAGAGCCTCCCAATGGAGGAAAGGTGGTGGGGGAGGAGAGAAAGAACTTGCGTTTATATAGCGCCTGTCACAACCACAGGGCAGCCCAGAACAGTTGACAGCCAAAGAAGTACTTCTTGAAGTGTTGTCACTCTTGTAATGCAGAAAACGTGGCAGTCAGGATTTTTTTGCACAGCAAGATCCCACAAAACAGCAATGCAGCAACGAGCCAAATTGTCTGTCTTAGTGATGAGGGCCTATCTATCAATCTCTTCTCCAAAGTGGAGCAATAGCATTTCTCAGCTTCACTTCAGAGGGCGGAGTTTCCCAGGTTTCACCTTTCACACCAGACATTAAGGAGCGCCAGTGTCCAGGATATTAACCTTCAGTACTCGGACACTCTGTGACTGTTACAAAGAGTTGGGAGCCCACCTGATCTCCAGTCATTCCCTCGTCATGTCCTGAAGTTTGGGGATCTTGTTCACACTCCTGCGAGAGTGATAGATCGACCCTAAGAAGCCTTGGCAATGCAAGGGGGTTGGGGCATTTTATTAAACAATGATAGAAGCACAGACACAAATCAGGAACCATTTCACATGTCTTAAAAGTAAAGGGGGTCAGGACATGAAAGAATGGTGAGCAGCGATATAGAGACTTTGGGACAACACAGTGTGGAGCTGGAGGAACACAATGGGCCAGGCAGCATCAGAGGGGCAGGAAAGCTGACGTTTCGGGTTGGGACCCTTCTTCAGAAAACTTCAGACTGGACTCATCTTCCCTAAAGTGTTAAATCTTCAGGAGTGTCCTGATCATGAAGTTTAAGATGATGAAGGAAATTGGTCAGCTCAACAGTGACCACTGGTGGGGGCTTGTCGCGGGGGGAGGGGGTGGGTTGGAGGCATTGGGAATGGCGAAGAGCAAAGGAACATAACTGTCAAATTGAAGGCGGAGGCATTTGGTAGGGGCGGAAGCACTTGATGACAAAGGAGAATGCAAATCTGAAATTCTCCAACCTCCATCAAAAATTGCCGTTGACTCTTGGCGATCAAGTCAGAATTTCAAAACAGAGCTTGTTATTTTCATCATGTCAGGGATTTAACATGTAGAGGTGGTTCAGTGGAAATCTAGACCAGCCATGATTTTATTGATTGGGGGAACAGACTGGAGGAGCCAAATGGTCTCCCACTCTGCCTTTGTTTTGCAATTCTTAACATCAAACATGCGGGAAGTGGAAAATTAAACAGGAGTCTTTCTATTCGGAACAGAAGAGGAATAGGACATCCTGCTCAGACAGTGGCTTCAATGAGAAATAAAGATTATAACCTAAAAGTTTTTTTTAAATAAAAAGCCAGAAGGAATCTGAGAAACAAACAGAGATGGACACAAAAATTAAGGAGAACATGTCAACTCTTTCAGGATAGGCAGATCTGCCAGTTAATGAGTCCATGACGATGATATTAAATGACAGTCTGTCAGTGAGTTTTAGAGGTTGTGTTTAAAAAGTATATATTTTTTAATTCATTCATGGGATAAGGGTGTCGCTAGACAGGACAGCACTTACTGCTCATCCTTAGTTGACCTGCAGAGGGTGGTGGTGAGCTGCCTTCTTGAATCGCTGCAGTCCATTAGTGGTAAGGTAGTCCATTAATGGTAAGGTAGTCCCTGAGGGAGGGAACTCTAGGGTTTTGATCCAGTGATGCTGCTATATGCAAGACTTGATCCAATACTGTTCAAATACTTTAAGCATATCCCTCCACACCCTCTAATTCAGAGTCAAAGTTACACAAACTAACACATTTTGTTCAGATATGGGACAAGTGCCACTGTTTGATCCATTAGCTTCTGTAGTCAAATGGCACGAGAAGCATCCAGTTATGCTAAGCAGCCCAGTGAGATGTGCTGGATGGTGAGCCTGAAGCTATACACCGACCACTTCCCAGCACAGCCGTCTCATGGCTTCAGCTTTGTGTAAAGGAAGGCATTTACAGATCCCATATGATGACCCCAGTGCAATCAGTTAGGTTTACATTTTACTAACACCTGTACTCAGGTACAGAAGGACAGGAGTACAGTGAAAAGTGTATAATGTCACCATACATGGTGCCATCTGAGGTACCAAGGTACCTCGCTACAAAAAACATAGGTGCAAAGTCATGACAGAAACAGTTAAAAAGTTAAGCATTACTTCATAGAATGAGCAGTAAAATAAAGAAATAAGATAATAGTTAACATTAAAGTCTTCCTTAATTTAAACTAGGAAACAAAAGGAATAAGTTAAAAGTTAGACATCATTCAAAAGGAAGATAGAAAACATATTTGTATATCATCCTTCACAACCTCTGGTCATTCCAAAGAACTTTACACTTTTAAGTGCAACACTGTAATAGTGCAGGAAATGAAACATCCGATTTATACACAGCAAGCTCCCATAAACAGAAGTATGATCATGACCAGAAAAATGGGATTAATGCTCCTGTTCTTCTTCCGAATTACGATTGGGGACCATTTGCATCCAGCCTAAAGTCAGAGTGACTTTCAGTTTAATTGTCATTATTCAACACAGAAAGCAGCACGTTGAATAGTGCAAACCCAGATTACATACTGAAAAGTCTGTGGGGCAGGAGCTCGAACCTTTAATGTTCCAATTTCTAAGACAGGAGAGCGCTCTGTACAAAGCTACAGGTGGCACTTTAATTTGCTGCTTGGTCACATTCACACCTTTCAGTGACTGTTAACACTAAGACAGTAGGTGATGGAGAGGTACTGGCACTGGACTATTAAACAAGCAGCTCAAGCTAATGTAGGGAGATGAGTTCAAATCCTACCATGGCAACTGACAGAATTTGAATTGAATTAATAAATCGGAGATTGAAAGCTCGACACGGTGACCATGATAACAATTATTGACCGTTGTTGTTGAAAAGCCATCTGGGTCACTGGTACCATCCTTACCTAGCCTTACCCAGCTGCACAGCAATGTGGTTGCCCCTGAAATAGCTGAGCAAACAGGCAATTCAAGAGCAATGAGAATGGGCAACAAACACTGGCTCTGCTAGTGATGTGTGTTTCAATAATGAATAAAATACAGTCGTGGGAATTGTATTGTTGAAGCTACCTCTCTCACCAAGAGTGGCTGTATGTCAGCTCAATGTTCTAGAATGGGTTCTTTGATTTTCATACCAGCTTGGTTATTTTTAGATGATAAGGTTACAGAACAGCACACTCAGAGCTGTGTGAAGTTTCCAACCTTCTAGCAGAGTACTAGCACATAACTATTGAATTAGATCACAGCTTACTTCAAGGTCTCCTGTACATAGTCACTAAACCCTAACAGTTCGAAATGTGACCAGCAAATTCCATGACAGCCCTGGGAAATCTTTGTTAACTCAGTCACTCACTGTATTGACTCTTTTGAAGCATTGCAAGAGGAAATCCATTCAGTTCTGTCTTTCCTTCTTTACAGGGTCAGCAGTGGAGATAGTGAGGTGTCCTCACCCTGTGCTTTGAGATTCTCACTTTCCAGTGATCTACTAAGGCATTGCAGCTGACGACAACAGTTTTTTTTAAGCCAACAGGGATGGTGTTACAGAGTTTCATCTCTCTTCCTCTGTTTTGATACAAAAGAAAGGTTTATGTTGCTACAATACTTTTCATGACCATTTGACACCTCAAAGTGCTTCACAGCCAATGAGATACTTTCGAATTGTAGTCATTATTTTAATGTAGAAAACAAGGCAGCTAATTTGTGCACAGCCAGCTCCAATTATTAACCTATTTCGGTGAGCAGTAAATATGTAACTAAACATTGTGAATTCCTTTTATCTCGTTCAAGATGATGTCCTATTCACAAAGTTGCCAATAAGGCCAAACTTATAATGCAAGGATCTGTAGGAATCCTAATGTATGTACTAATCACTGAAGGTGGGTTTGTGGTAGACAATAGTGGAGAACCAGAGACAGATTTCTCGTCGTCGAGAAAAAGGAGCTCATTGATTGTCCCATTTCAAATTTGAATTTGAGCATGAGATGGAGCCCATTAAGACATGTAAAGAAATTCAAATGCATTCAAGGAGAGCAAATTCATTGCCCACATATCAGAAATGTGCACTGGGCAAGAGAGTAGGTAGGAGAAGGGTAGGAGGTATACTCTGAAAGAAGTAGCAAAATAAAACAGACCCTGGAAATCTGAAATAAACATAGAAAATTCTTAAATTATGGAATAGGACTGAGATTAGAGATAGAAACAATGTTACTCTTTCAGGTAACATAACTCTCATTGGAACTCACTCAGAGATAGTAAGAACTGCCGATGCTGGAGTAAGAGATAACACAGTGTGGAGCTGGAGGAGCACAGAAGGACTGGCAGCATCAGAGGAGCAGGAAAGTTGACGTTTCGAGTCAGGACCCTTCTTCAGAAATGAGCTTTTTGAAGGGCCATTTCTGAAGAAGGGTCCCGACCTGAAACGTCAACTTTCCTTGCCCCTCTGATGCTGCCTGGCCTGCTGTGTTCCTCCAGCTCCACACTGTGTTATCTCAATGGAACTCCTTCTCTCTCCATTGATGCTGCCTGGCCTGCTGTGCTCCTCCAGCTCCACACTGTGTTGTCTCAATGGAACTCCTTCTCTCTCCATTGATGCTGACAGACCTGCTAAGTATGTCCAGAATTTTCTACATTTATATTAGGATGGTTAAGATGTATAAATATTATTAAAATTTGGGGATTTGGATTTTAAAATGGTGTTAAAATAAATGTGAGTGTTCAGAGCCGTGAAGGTTTTTTTAAGGGGTCAGAAAGTCATTTGGAACAGTGAACTAACTACGTCATTTCCAAGAAAGCATGTGCCCCTCGGTGGCATGAAGTCCTATATTCTGGTGGTGCCATCATACTGTAGTGGTTGCTGCTGAGATGACAGGCAGGACAATGATGGAGCCCCAGTGGAACTCTGCTATATCAGGAAGGCTTGGGTAGAAAGGGTTTGCCCACTTTAGGGAGGAAGGGCAAAGATGGTGATGGGATGGGCTTTGAAGAATAGACAGACAGGATGGAACGGGGACTACAGTCTTCTTGAGAAGTGGAAGGAGGGGGTGTCGTGCCCACCATGGGCAAGGAACACACTGCAAAAATAGATTCCACATCTTCT